GCATGCATGCTCCGAACCGAGACAAGCGAACCGAACGGTTCGGTTTTTTTTCATGAACCGTGCCATCCCTAGTTGAAATGTATTGAGACAAATACCTTATTTAATGCTTAGTAGCTAATGAAGTGGAAGATGTTGGCATCGTCAGATACTCAGAGTTTTAATACTGAGGAGATACCTGAAAAGATGAAATTGGGCCATCTCTAGTTTTATACTTTGTCAGATGTTCAGCTGCTTTTACCTTAAGTTCTGTGCTGTTTTACCCTCCGTTAAGTGGCCGGTTGAGCAGATACGGGTCTTCAGCGTGTTTCCTTCTTTCCCAGATTTCCACCACCACGAGCCACATTCCCTGGGCGTCCATCTTCACTTCCTTGCCTGTGTGGGCAATTATCGTACCACACTTCTGCTACAACTGGACCTTCTACACCCTTCTGGCTCTGCTGCCCACCTACATGAAGACCGTCCTGGGTTTCAGCATCCAGCAGGTGCAGACTGCCATCTGTGGTGAACTTCTCGGTCTTGTGGTCCTAGCCATTGAACCTCAGTACCCTTCCAGTATTGTGATGTGCTTACAGTGACGGTTTTAGGAACTAAAATCTTATATAAGTGTGGAACTGAAGTTCATGCCAAGGTAGGGCAGTCGTCACCATCCTGGTTGGCACTGTCTTCATCTCCCTCCCTCCTTCTTGAATAGAACGGGATGCTGTCAGCGCTGCCGTACCTGGGCTGCTGGGTCCTGGCACTGCTGGGGAGTCATCTAGCGGACCTGCTGCGGGAACGATGGCTCGTCCCCACTGTGGCTGTGCGTAAAATCTTCACCCTCATAGGTAGGGCCCAGCTAAGTGCAAGCGAGGCAGCCCAAGGTTGGCTGGGAATATCTTGACATGATGTCTCACAAAGACAACCTTGTTGTGTCTGTGTGCTGTATTGACACCGACCAGCCTATATTTGGTGTTAGGGTGGTCTGAGTGCACCAAATGGGTGTTAGGGTGGTCTGAGTGCACCAAATGGGTGTTAGGGTGGTCTGAGTGCACCAAATGGGTGTATATTGAGTCTCTTGGGTTTTTTTTGTCTCTGTGACCTTCCAGGAATGATTGGGCCAGCGGTGTTCCTGGTGGCAGCGGGCTACACCGGCTGCAACTATGTGATGGCAGTGGCTTTCCTCACCGTGTCCTCCACCCTGGGTGGCCTCTGCACCTCCGGCTTCAGCATCAACCAGCTTGACATCGCCCCTTCGTAAGACACCTCTTCTTCAGTGCCACCCTGCAGAGTCCTTCTGGCTTTTATTGTGAAATATCTGAGAGTTTTTCATAGTGATATATGTGGCTTTGAGTGTTCATTAGCTATCTAGTCCAGCCTTTAGTTAATTACAGTTTCTGGGGGGTGCTCCAACAAAGCTGGATTTCTCAGTTAGCTGGGTTAACTTAAGCTAGAAGTCATGATCATACAATAAGAATTCAGGTAAGGAGCATACCTACTGAACAGTCATGACTTCTAGCTTGTGTTAACCCAGCTAACAGAGAAATCCTGCTTTGTGGAGAACAGAATGGAGTCTGAATGGATTTGCCTATGTCTGTCCCACCTATAATTATGTGGTGGCTATTCCATTTTGAAGGACTATGTTTGCAACAACTGGAGGCATGATGGGAGAGTATTACAGTAAAATATTTGGTTATTAGTTTTGTTAGCCAGTGTATAGAACATCGATGCAGATAACTGAAGATGGTAATACTGGTAATACCTAATATAATTTAACTGCTTTAATATACTTTGATAACAAACATTATACGATTACACAGTTGTAGTATTTGTTGTCATATAATGTTTATTATTAATGTACAGTATATTAAAGCTGTTAAGGTACAGTACTGTGCAAAACTCTAAGGCAGTCAAAGTAAATGTCTGGGTAGTAAGTTTAATTTTGCTCAGGAAAAAAATCCATTTTAATATTAAAACATATGCAGATTAATAGTAACACAATAAAAACTTGTAAAAACTTCTTCTGTTCTACAAAAAGTTACTGACATGGCTGGATGGCTAGATGAACACAGCTTCAGCTTCAGCTCCCAAACCTCCCCTCAGGGGCTCCTCAGCCATTCCATGTATTTATTACATTTTACCACCAGCTCACTTAGTTAATCAGTTAAATTAGTTTTAAAAACGAGGTGCACTAGTGGTCGAGTTAAAAAAAAAATCCTTGGGTGTGTTGGATGGTTGCTGCAAGTACTGAGGTGACTTTAGGTGAAGTTTTGAAATGAGTAAGCTCTCACACGTATGCACACATAATGTTATAGCTCTACAATATCCTGAAGATCAACATCATTTTCTTTGCTCGCCTAAGACTTGTGCACAGTACTCTATGTTAGGATATTATGGTACACTTACATGCTGCTTATGAATGTTCTCTGAATACATCACAAAGGTGCACTGAATGATCTGTGAAAGCATTAGAAAGGCACTATGAAGGTGCCGTCAATGTAAAGCGTTACCTTTTTTTTGTCTGTTATCTGAGATTCTTGAGGTATGTTTATTATATACAATTTAGTTTAACAAATACTTTTGTCAGATGTCTTGTAACAATTGATACAATGGTGCCCTAAATGATAAACTAACCTGTTTTCAACATTTCTTCAGGTACGCTGGGATTTTACTTGGAATCTCAAACACGTTTGCCACCATACCAGGAATGGTAGGGCCTGTGATAGCTAAAGCTCTGACATCATCTGTAAGTACTTTGGTACTATTATTTAATTGCAAAAGAAAAGTTAATTCAGTCAATGTAGGATTTACCTCCAGCTACTTCTAAGCTTAGAAGTGACCTTTCTGTGTGGTCTGGTTCCAGAACACAATACCTCAGTGGAGGGTGGTGTTCTACATCTCTGCTGCCATCAACGTGTTTGGGGCAGCTTTTTTCACCATCTTTGGAAAGGGCAAGATCCAGCCCTGGGCAGTTCCAGACACCCACGTCCACTGAGAGTGAAGAAACTGAGGTGCCATTCTCACCCCAATCACTCTGCCTTCAGGGGGCGCCCTTGGACATTACTGACTCATGGAGGTCTTTAAGGCAGTAATATTATCATAATTGCTTTATTTGTCTGTCTAATTCATTATGTTTATTCACTTTACAGTTTGTGGAATATTTTCAGGGATGTCATGGGTAGTGAAGGGTGGAAAAGCTGTGGACCAGGTGGTTCTTAATGTTTTTTTCTGTTACTGGTTTTGAAGAAATCAAGTTATTTTATATCCGTTTCATTCAGTATATTATAAAAGCAGTAAGATCCTGTGTGTTATAAAAACCACACAATTACATTCTGGTTAATAAAAAACCTCAAGCAAAGTGGGATTCGGGTGAATCATGTTATTGTTCATGATGAAAACGACATTTTTGTTGTATTGTCAGTCAGTCTTGATGCTATTAGCTATATGGCACCCAGATGTGGAAGATTCGGTTTCAGAAATCACAAATCCACCAAGGTTTTGTTTCAACTGACCAGTCAGATTACTCAACCAGAATTTTCCACCTCTGATGGCACATGGTAAATTTCTCCACGTTACACTGTAAAGGGATGTAGAAGGTGAAATTATTTTAAATGGTGGAAAGTAAAGTAAAAAAGAGAGGACTGCTTTCCCTAAACCATAGCAAATGTCAAAGAATATCAATGTATATGTAAAATACCTGATAATAAAACCAGTCCAGTGTTCATAAATGGCTTTCACTTTAATTAAATCAAAATCCATTTTTACTTTGAGATGTATACAGAATATATGCATGATGAAACTACCGTCCAACAAATACTGTAATGGAAGTGCTTTCCTAACACTTATCGCCATAAAACCTGATCTGCAAACGCGTCTTTAACCTGCATCTTTAATCTCTGGAGCAAAATGACCGAAGAGAAAAAGGACAAACCCCCAGGGACGGATTATGGACCGGGCCAGCAGGGCCGCTGCCCAGGGGCCCTTGGGGTGCAGGGGGCCCATGGGGTCCCTAGCCCAAAACAATTTGCAACGCTTATCAACAATGTATTTTCGTTTGTCTATTTTAGAGGGCCTACATTCTTTGATCCTCTGCCTACAAGGGCCCCTGACCTTATAGGGCCTCTGATGGAAACATGGAGGGAGGGCGTTTGGCTGCCAAGGGCCCTTGAATTGTGGTGGTTGTGGTGGTGATGCTGGTGGTGGGGGGGGGCCCTCGCGAACGTTTTGCCCAGGGGCCCACACAACCCATAATCCGTACCTGCAAACCCCTAAACATATTTAGTAATGACACATGTTTTTCTCAGTAGTGCGCCTGGTGTTAGTGAGTGATGCTTCTTGTGGGCTTAGAGGGGGTTCGCGTATTGGCTGCCCAGTTGACAATAAGAGCGCCCCCTCCCGTCTGAGATGGAAAGTAAGCGCGAGCGCAGTCTCTTGCTTGGAGAGGGAACATTCTAAAACGCTTAATGTGAAAAAGCTTAATGTGGTTTAATGTACCAAAATAGCGACCAAATATCACCAAATTTCGCAAACACACATCTGGTCATAAAGACTTTCACCTGACAAAGAATCTAAACCTAAATGCTAAGAATATGGACTTTATACTACGTTAAGCGTTTTCCCCTCCATTGACGCCCATTATAAGGAAAAGGCTTAATATAACTTAAACTACCAAGACAGCCACCAAAAATCACCGTGGTGGGTCTCATTAGCAAGAACGACGAGTCAGCGTACAGGGAGGAAGTGCAGAGGCTAACGGACTGGTGTAAAGACAACAAGCTGTCTCTGAATGTTGACAAGACAAAGGAGATGGTTGTTGACTTTAGGAGGTCACGAGGCGACCATTCTCCGCTGAGCATCAACGGCTCCTCTGTGGAGATCGTCGAGAGCACCAAATTCCTGGGTGTCCACCTGG